TTACTTGAGTAAATGAATGAAATTCTAGACAAATAAGACACACAAATAAAATGTTTTCGTAATTTTTTCCTTTTTTTAATGCGACTCACAGCAAGATATGGCAATAATCTGCTTCCGCTTCACATGCATTCATGTTCTTGCAGCCAGCGTGTCATGCAGGCGCCAGCCCTGGCAACAAAACTAATTTTCTATTGCATAGCAGCGTTCATCAGGCTAATTTATTTTCTCACATCTACCTAAATATACATGCCACACTGGCTCATGATACTGCCAGTGTCACAACGCTGCTCACATGTTCAGGGGCTCGGGCTGGCTCAGACACGTCATGCGCATGTGACCTTGTATGTACGACGTGTGGATGCGTGTGCGTCATGTCATCCTCCATCCAACTCCCGTGCACAAGAGGGTAGCAAAAGGATTCGGCTAGCAAAGGCTACACGAGGGTTACAAACTCGTTTCATCACTGATGGTCTCACGCTGCTTTAACATACAATGATTTTCTCAGCTTATAAAAAACCAATTTGAAAAATTCTTGTGGCATAATGCTCATCATTGAGCATGCAACACCTTCAGATGGCTAACTAGAATTTGTTGTGTGACCTGGTGAGGGTCCCTTTAAAATGGCAGTAGAGGACTCATGAAGATGACCAAAGCATGGCAACCGATTGCCTCCCCAACCAAAGAAACAGTCCTGTTCGTGTACTCAATGATGTACTCCAATAGCAAATTTATCAACACTACCGCTTGTGATGTCAGTCTACCGCATGTGATTGGTGCAGGCTTGCATAGATCTGCCGGACTATAAAACAGGGCTAGTATCACCTTAAAAGGTGCTAAACCAGTTAAAATCTGCTTATGCTACGTGCTTAAGGTTGTACTGTTCACAAACAATATATCTACATACCCTTGCATGAATGCTTACGATTCGACATTGCACAACAACGCAGCAGAAACAGCATGTTACCTGCTGTTTTAGATTAAACTAGGCCATTATAACAGCATGCTTATTAAAAAAATTGGTGTATACCAATGATCTGTTATAACAACTGAAAGAGGTAGGCGGAGCAGTCACTCTTTCCCCTCTCTCTTAGACCGGGAGCGTCCTAACTTCTTTCCAATCGTCCAGTGGGTTTTTTCTTGTTTTTTTTTCCTTTGTGGGCGCATCAATTCACCTCCGGTTTCTTGGCGGTCTTTCCGCGGATTGCATATGCTGCGTTTGGTTTCTTACGTGCGTGCGCGAGACGAGCGATCGAATACCTTTCACTACCCTTCTTTTACCCCCTTCTTTCTGTCTCTTTAATTCCAATTCCCCCATTTCCTGCGCTGAACCGCCGAGGTGCCCTCATGAAGAGAGGTAGTAACAGAACAGCACTTATTTCTTCATTTTTCCTCCTTTCAGAGTCACTTTGAGGTAGGCATATTGCATATAACAGCTCATCGCCACGAGCGAACTGGCAACACTCCTTACCTGCCCAAGGTGCCCGATGGCTGGCGCTGGTCACAACAATAATGGCCCAGGACAGAAGCACCGCAGCAAATGTGGCCCTCATTTTGGCAGGTACGCTATGGTGTGGCTACTCAACAGCAAATGTGCTTCACACTGAGGAGGCAGCACAATCAAGCGTCTGAAATAGTTTGCAGAAAACAGAATAAGTAGTGCTTAAGCAGTAAATAAAATTAACAGAAGTTTTGGAGAATGGCTGCCAGCTTATTTCTATGATTAGCTTCTTGGATGCTTGGTGAATAAACGAGTTGGACACAAACAAAATGCATGTCCATCTTATTACTAATCAAGTAAGCACTTTGTTTTATACTCCTCTTTCAACCTGTAACAACAGTTCTTTGTAAACTACAACAGTCCATGCTTTTCATAAGTCAGCTGCATTGCATGAAGCAAGGTGTGAGAGCGGCCTGGTTAGTATTCCATGTCTTAAACAGCTGTTTAAGGCACTGCAAGATGCTTTTCAAGTTTTCCAGTTACGTGCAACCATCCTTTTTTTTCTTTCTTGCGGCAAAAATGACCATGTTTTCTTGAATGAAGCTCAATAGTTGCTTGCCAAATTGTGTATATACAATGAAATTAGGTGTGGCTTTTCTTTTTCAACGGTTCCATAGAATGTTTTTTTTTTCTGTGGAAGACTGTCTAAGCTCTCCTGAAAGGACAATGCACTGGGTATACTGTCACAGGCCTTATAAGCGAAGCTTCTAAAGTAAAGCCAAAAATAAAGAGAAGCGTAGCTGTTTTTTCTTATGTGCACACAACTTCCTACAGGTGAAAGAAGCTGGGAAATAAACACAATATTGAAGTGCTTTTCTCAACTTCAAGAGAACTAAGATGCATCTGTTGACAAACACCTTTCTGATAGTGTAGCATAAATTTAAGAAAAGATATGAATTCGAGAGATCGCACACGCAAAAGGCAAGTTAAGTTTATGAGGTGTGCGATGGTGTGGAACTTGGGATTCTCTTATACCATCTGGTGTTCTTCGTTGGGCATCTATGTCAAATTGTACATGCATTTTGTAGCCAAATGAGCTTGCCATGGCTAATGAATCATGCCTTTGGTCTCACACTCTCATCACAGCATGACTAAACTCACAATGATCATTGTAGTAATTTAATTTCATGTAAGTACAGCAACTGTGTATAATGGGCAAGTATGGAATGCATACTATGAAGAAAATGATTGAACACAAGAATATTCACGAAATAGCATGGTTATTTACCACACTTATGTGGTTACTATTTCTATGTCTCTCCTCTCCCTATTTTCCGCTATACTGTCACTTTTGTTTCGCCAATCAAATGAAGAGAACACCCACACCAAAACCACTGCATAGAAATCCAGTTCATCATGCAGGCTGGACAATGTCAATCTCTGGTGGACTAATGCTCCTTTGCATTGTTTATCTTTCAACTAGGGGTGCTTGAATAGTGAATTTGAGAACCGAATCAAATATGAATCCAATAGTGATGACACCATATTGAATATAATTACGAATCAAATACTACTCAAATAGTAAGGCAACAATCTTCAAAGCATGCCTAGACTAGTAAGGTGACAATCTTCAAGACAGCCCAAGAATTCCAAAACATTATATTTCAAACGAATATTCACAAGGTACAAGGACACATTATAACTACCTTTTACCCACAAAAGTAGTACAGTTATTTAGACTGAGCAGCCACAGGAGCCTTCGAAAATATAGCAGTGCCTACAGCATTCAAGGTGGTGCTTTGTTAACAGTTACAATAGCTTTTAAATAAAACTGATACTTAAATATTAATGATTAATATGTGGAGTTCAATGTCCCAAAACCACCATATTATTATGAGAGACGCCATAGTGGAGGGCTCCAGATAACTTTGACCACCTGGGGTTCTTTAATGTGCATCCAAATCTGACTACATTAGGTAATGTTGATGAGTTAACATTAGCATAAGTTTCATGGTGAAGACAGATGACTGCTGACACAGTTGCTTCGGCAACGCTGAAATTTTATGCAATTCACTATCGTTCTGTTATGAATATAGCGTCGGTAGTGCTGCAAGTTCATGAGCTGCATGCATCTGGGTGATCAGAAGGTGAATACAAGAAATATTATCCCTCACTGTTCCCACATTTTATTCTTTCAAGCATTTTTCATCGCTGCAAATTATTAGAAAAATATTCATTGTTTTGAATATGCAGAATTGGATTCAGGTGCCAAATCAAATAGAATGATATTCTATTTATTATTGTAAATTTCCAAATATTAATACACCCCACTTTGGACATTTTATTCCATATGAAAATAGCACAGTCTGCTCCCCCATGATCCCCTCTCCTTGAATTCTTTTTTAATGAGTACTAGCTAGACGTTACTTCGAACTTTCACTGACAGCGAAAAGCTTGTCCTGCTCATTTCTAAATGCTTTAATCTGTGCCAGTTTGTAAAACTACCACGAAACTCCGAGCAAGTGCCCCCCCCACCCATACAAGCGGCCCTCCACCCAACTTCACTGGCAATTTCAAATTTATGCGCCTTTCCGGGAAAGTGCCCCCTCCCCCTCCAATCCAATCCTGCTTTGAACTGCAGCCCGATTGCTCCGCGCATCCTCCGTGCCATTCGTTGCTTTGTGCATGCGATAACAGGTCAGCTATGCCCATGCAGTCCTACACAGTGGCGAAGAAAATCGAAGTTATTCGAGGGCATTGAGAAAACTGAAAATGTCCACCAGACATCTCCACATTTCAAGCTCTACTGGAAGCTGATACGGGAATGGAAGAAAAATTTTGATAATTTGCTGCAGATAAATTATAAGAAGGCAAAACTTCGACGGAAGCTCAGTAACGGCGCACCAGTGTTCGAAGAGCACATGGACGATGCGCTTTTCGAGTACCTTGAGCACGAAAGAAGTGCAGGACGTGCCATCCAGCAACCGGATTCTTTCCGATGAGGCCATCAAAATTGCCAACAGCATGCAGTTGAGAAACTTCGTTGCCTCCAGCCATTACATAGGTTGCTGGAAACAGTAGTTCAGCGTAACAATGCCCCGCACTACGAACGAGAGCCAGCAGACGCCCGAGGAACTTTCAGAGGCAGCAAGTGCCTTTCGGTCTTCTGGGAACTCCTTGCAACGTCGCAACAGCTACACCTTATATAACATGGCCCACATGGATCAGACGATCAGTGTGAATAGACAACCCCACCAGTAGGACAAACAACGTGGTCGGCGAAAAGCACCATACAGATTGCGAACACTGGATGTGCCCAGCACCGCTTCACCGTTTGCTAGCTGCTTGCGCCACCGGCCACAAGCTCCCAGCTTTCATTATCTTAAAGGAGCAAAGCGGAAAAATTTCAGCCAGGGCCCTTGTGAGCCTTCGCTTACCAGGTGAGAATTATTTCATTTTTTTAATGGGGACATTGTGATAAACGTTGTCATTTTATCACAATGCTGACTTTTTTTCCCATTTGTAGAAAATGCTCGCCTCACCACCAAAAAGAAACGGCTGGATGACATCGCAGAAAATGCAAGAATGGCTGTCGAAAGTCTCGGCCCCAAATGTTGACAATGTTCAACGCTCACTAATGTTGGACCAGGTGCCCATCCATAAGACACAAGCCACCACAAATGTCTTCGAAGAGTACAGCACCGATGTGCCTGCAGGATGCACAAGCATCCTGCAGCCTGTTGACGTGTATTGCAATGAGCCATTCAAGTCCACCTTGCGACGTTTGTGGGAGCAGCATATGCGTGAGCAAGCACGACCACCGAAAGGAAGCTTGAAAAATGTCGCGGCAACATTTCCTTGATTTCCTTGTAAAGGCACGGGCCGCTGTACCTGAGGAGACAATGGCACGGTCTTTCAAAGGATGGGGCATTGGCATTGCGCTCGATGGCTCGAAGGACAACGACCTGCACAGCGGATTGGCCTATGTTGGAGCTGTGGTGCCAAAAGACTGCGGAGGACTTCAAGTGGCATTCTGTGGCCTGCCGTTTGCAAATGATTCAAAAGAGTCTTTCGATGGTTTTGAAAGCAATTAAAAGCTACAACAAATCCTGGGCCTAAATAAGCTTCACTGTAATGAAATTTTGACTCATGCGCACTGCATTTTTTTTCTGGTGTGAAAATGTTGCCGGCTTCTTGAATTTGGGTGCCGTCCCGAGATAGCGCACCCCCCCACCCCTCTTTGCTGGCTATATTGACTTCGTTGGAGAAAAGGGGCACTTTCTCGGAATTTTAAGTATACTGATTATGCTGCAGGCTATGGAGACTCACACTCGAGTCTCCATAGGGACATCCAGGTGTGACGAAGGGACCTGTGTCCTATATTTGTTTCTGTGCCATGTATTCTGCCTATAGTTGATCAAGCAACAGACAAACTTTTCTGAAGTTGAGGTTTCACCTGCTTGCCATTTCGTGGACAGCCCCAGAGTTGGTTGACAAGTTTTAAGCTGTGCAAACTGGCTTCCCACTTAACCAATAAAGCATTGAGAATAATAACTTTAGTGTTTGCTTTGCAATCTAGAACATGTGATTTAGTGCAGTGGTATTATACTCACAGACTGCTCAAGTGCTGGTGTGATAAACCTCGTGATACATTCTATGATACAAAAACGGGTCACAGTAGGTGCAGGTTTCGAGCTATCTCCAATCGATAACTTGCATTCTGCATAGCTTAGTAAGCTTGGTTCTTTTTTCTTCTTTTCTTCTCAGACTGTCTGTAACTTACAGGACTTGCTAGTAACTTGTACACCACAGTAACTGGCAAATTACTGGTAACTGCCTTACCATGAAAAAAAAAACTCATTGAACTACCAGTGCTCTTGATAAAACTTAAATATTTGTTAGCAGAAAATATTTCCAGTTAATGTTACAACTCCGGAAGTATAGAATACTTATTTAAACTATTAAATATCGATATCAGTGATATGAATTTACAGTTAGCCCAATCAAATGGGGTGAAAAAACGCACCAGAATGCAAGATCTTTTGAGCGCAAGAAACATGAATTCCGATTTTCCCGTTCTGAGCAACAAGCTAGAGGTGTAAAGAAAACCATCTAGCCATGATGTAACCATAATTAAGCTGTCCAAGTAATCTGACAGCTTATTCGAAATGATCAAACAGCCCGAATCGGTACTTCAAGAACCAGCGCCATCAATCGTACGTAATCTCCCAACAAAGTGAATTGCAGGGCTTTTTTGAAATTCGCGATTGCACCTGCTTGAGATATGTGGCACGGAACTAACCTAGAAAGGCCGTTTTATCAGTTCCGCGTTCGATTTCGCTTCGCGCTTCCACAACGCTAGTTTTCTTATCACGAATTTGTCAGCAGTATGGCGCTATGAACGAATATTTAACCCACTTTGAGTTTAACGAGTACATGGAAATGAAGCGCACATCATGGCAGAACGATGAGGTCATCTGCATGTATTTTGCAGAGTGACTGAGACGGGCACATATATTCGCCTCCTTGAGAATACAAACGTTTGTGAAGCACGTGTTATCATTCAGAACGAAGGAATAAATTTGACAACATATGCGTTTGGGAACACGCGCCCATCGAACAGAACTTCAAGAACGCCCTAAAGATGCGCGGAATAACAAAAGAAGACAATCGGTGAACGTTTCGGGTCGCGACTGGCGGTAGCCCATGCAGAGCATCTCTCCAGCAATTCGAAAAGCTGCAGCACAGCGCTATTCTAAAGTGAAAGTAGTTTGAGGGGAGCCAGAACCCGTTAGTCAATACCGTAAATTGAAGTCGAGTAATTACCTCAATACTGATGGCTTGGGTTACGCAGCCGATAGCTCCTCGACGTCATAGGTGCGGTTGACGGCTAAAGCACGGCGGCCCGCTAAAACACAGTATTCGAAGAGCAGCGCAATAAACTAGCGCAGCGGCACATTCAACGCAGCATACGATTGAAGCATATTCAACATTTTTGTGCCGCACAGCGAAGCACAACAACTCGGAGGCAGCCTGGATCGGCTGCAAAAAATAAACATACAAGTTAAAAGCCGCGGTAAACTATGAGGCGCTGCGAGCATAAGCGCTGTCTTTCTAGAAATAAGAAAACACGGGCCCAAATTATTATCACTTTTGTATAAAAATGTATATAAATAAATAAATCATTCAATAGACTTTAAGTGCGTACCAAAACAAAGTTATATTGTTTTGTTGGACGTACCTTACCACACTGCTCTACCAAAAACTCTACAAAAACGTTGTCTTGAGGTACTGCTTGAGGATTTCATAGGCCAAATGATTAGCTGAATTCTACCAAGTTAACATTTCTTTAATGTGCTTTTGGAACGAAATGCTTATTAGCCGAAGAGAAGGAAATGTATAAGCCACTGTCCGTACAGGTGACGGCGTTGGCGTCGGCGACGATGGTCAGTTCCACCAGTTCCACTATGGCGACAAGTAACTGTTCGGAACAGTCGATGCAAACACGCAAGCTAAGCGTTCGATTACGAGTCACTGCGAGGCCACGCGCTTGTGCGCTACCGTGAAGGACTTCCAACATTCCTCGTCATCTCTTTAGGCAGCGAAGTTACCCCTCTAAACGCCACACTCCATGATCTGGACGCCATCAGTTCTACGGAAGAAGTAGTCGACGTTCTCGTAGGGCGCTGGTGGCCGCTTCAGCCCGGGACGCAGTGCCGCTGGTGATCGGTTATCGACTGTTTTCTGCTGCTTTCTAACTGCGTTTCGTGGCTCGCCTCCTGCCTGCCGGCGAAATGTGACCGCATCATGTTGTGCCCGTCGGAGCCGGCAGTGGAGAACGGCATCTCCGTGTGCGTCGCGGCCCCCTCAGCTGCGTCCGCCGCTGCAGTAGTGCGAGATTTCAACGGTGGTCCCGACGGTGTCGTGAAACCAGAAGATGCCGGACCGAATGGAACAGCGGCGAGTGGCAACGGGAGCGGCTGTTGTACTCCCGTCGTCCCTACAAGCGCTGCGGCGAACTCGGCTCCTGTCGACGCCGACGGAAGCAGCGGCGACGATCCCAAGCTGAAAGCGCTCTGCGGCGTCCCACAGCGAGGCGCCGAGCTCACGGCTGACTCGTACTCGAGTACGGACTCTGGAGGCGCAGTGGTGGTAGCGCCGCGCTATTGTAACGATCCCTACTGCCAGCTGAAGGAAGATGCGTCGTCCGTGGTGGTTGCCGTCGTGCCTTCGCAGGCGGAAGGCCGGTCGTGGAAGTGCGAGGTCTGCTGCAAGTTGTTCGCGCAGAAGCACCACCTGCAGACGCACTTGCTCTGCCACTCTGGCGTGAAGAGGTTCGAGTGCCAAGTGTGCCACAAGGCGTTCAAGCAGCAGGCACACCTGAACACGCACCTCCTCATCCACGAAGGCCGGCGGCCGCATCGGTGCCCGCACTGTGACCACAGCTTTCTGCAGGTGAGACGCTATCAGCTGCGCTGTCTGTGAAACTTCGCCATCGCATACATGGACTCTCTTGTGTGTAGCTGCCTTATTTTTGTGTTGCCTGGGTTGGCAACAGAAAAAAAGAAGGCTGTAAAGTTGACAGTAGCGCGTCAACGTAACAGCTGAATCACCTTGATACTAACTGCATTTGAATCACAGATGTTGTGGAGCGTTTGAATCGGTAAACGTAAAAAAAAAAATGCGTATGTAAATATTCTGTCTCATAGTGTCGTGATAGTGTTCCTGCATTAGCTGGAGGCTCCTCATTTCATGCTGCTATACCTAGTAACAAAAGGAAATCTTGGAATTTCGACAGGCCTGCTGCTAGAGTTTCGGCAGTCGTTAGTGCTTACAAAATCAGCCATGCTACCAAGTGCGCCCCATTTCAGATACCAGATGACAGGTTCTCTCATCTCTCTGTGTGTACTGACATTGAAGGCTACCTTTGTACACGTGTCAGGACCCCAACTTTTAGTTCAGCAATTCGCAGGTGTGGCAAGTTTACTTGAATGAGGCACAACTGGTAATGTCGAATGAAATGCTGCTTGTTGCTTCATTGAACTCTGCACTGACAGCACAGTTTGTCTGATTGATGGGTAACTTGGTAGTCAGCATCATTAATTGTCCATAATCTGCATTTTAACCCCTGCGTAAGGACAATAGGCAGAACTCTGCAATCTTCCGACGTTGTAACCTAACATCAATCAAAGATGCTTGTGTAAACCTTCTGCGTAATGTACTCTTTCAGTCCCAGAATAGGGACCTGCCCAATTCTCTCTTAGACTAATTACAGTGTACCATTCTCTGCGATAAATGTTTTATTCATTTAGGAGCAAAATCTTCTAGGTGTACAGTGGTGGGACCACACCATTGCAGTTGCTGAGGCACTTTTCCTGACGCTGAAGTTGGTCCCAGTGCGATCACTACTGATCCACCAACACTGCTGGAAATTATCCTGCTTTTTTCTCCTTTGCTCACTACTGGTGCTTCTCAACATTGTGGGAAAATGCTGATGTGTTCATCACAGAAATTGTGGGCATATTCACCGAAACCAGTACTAAACAAGGACACCTTTGCTTACAATGATTTCACTGCTGCTTGCTATCATGCAATTAGAATTATGGCGGGTCCACTTATCGAAACATGTGTCTCAGCAACATTCTCTGTTCAAGGACTTCTCGGTGCATGGAGTAGTAACTCATTGCCGATATATATATTATGAGTATCACCCACCCCTTTCAGCCGATTTTCAAAATTGATATATGTGTATGTCATGGATTAGTCTTAATATATTTAGTTAGATGAAGAGAAAACAAGGTGATGTGGCCTATAGATTCCTTATAGTCAATGCACCAAAAATTCATGAATTCAGTGGCATAGTCAGGTGATTGGTTCAGGGGTTTCAAACTTTTCGAAATTTTTACATTTTGTATTTGTGTATGTGTGTGTGCACATGTATTGTAAAGAAGAGGAAGTACTCCGGCGCAGAGGCAGCAGCATCGAGTGTGCAGCAGCGGCTCGAGCTCGGAAATTGCGGCTGGTGCATCGCCTTCCACGCCTTCCAAGCACCAACCTTTCTGCTTAATAAATCTCCTTTATAATTGGTGGAGACGTGCCGGGTACCGTCCCTTACACCTTCCCGCTGCCATCCTGGAACTCCGTTCTCGACGGCTACCTTCTGCTATGCCGGACGCCGATCAGCAGACGCTTCCATCTCTTCCGGCCACCTGTCCAGGCAGTGTTCCTCAGCGGGAGCCTCCAATCTTCAGTGGAACAGATGACAACGACGTTGAAGAGTGGCTCTCGACTTTCGAACGGGTGAGCGCTTTAAACAGATGGACGGACGCGGACAAGTTGACACGCGTTTCGTTCTATCTCACGGGTGTAGCCAGCCTTTGGCTTAGAAACCACCAGGCAGACGTCCGAACGTGGCCGCAATTTAAAAAGTCGATTGTAGCAGTCTTCGATCGACCTGCCGTCCGAAAACTTCGTGCCGAGCAACGTTTACGCACACGCGCACAAGAAACGGGCGAAACCTTTACAAGTTACATAGAAGACGTCGTCGATTTGTGCAGACGCGTGAACGCCGAAATGACGGAAGCTGAAAAATGTAAGCACATCCTCAAAGGGATTGACGACGACGCTTTTCAAATGCTCTTGGCGAAAAGCCCGACCACTGTTAACGACGTAATTAGCCTCTGCCAAAGCTACGATGAATTGCGGAAGCAGCGAGCTCTGACAAGACGTCCTCCAGCGCACGATTTGGCATCGCTGTCTAGTGTGATCAGTGGTCATGACCACGCGTCACTAATAGCCGAATTAAAAGCATTTGTCCGCGAAGAAGTTGCACGACAGCTTTCCTTGGTGCCTTTCACACCAGAAGCTACCACAACTTTACCATCGTCTCTACGTGACATCATTCAAGGAGAGGTCGCCGAGGCCTTACCAGCTGCTCGCGAGCCTAATCTTGTGGCTGCTCCTCTCACCTACGCCGCGGCTGCAGCCATGCCAACTCGCAAGGCGCCTGCGCCTCCGTTCCAGTCTCGCGCGAGCTATCCCCCAGCTCCAGTTCACTGGACCAGCACTAACACCGCCAACCCGTGGCGCACCCTCGATAATCGCCCGATATGTTACGCTTGTCGATACCCCGGACACGTCGCAAGGTATTGTCGCCGCCGGACGCATATCACCAATGAAAACCGCCGTGAGCCTTTCTTCCCGCTTGACTCCAACGCGCGATACGGTTCCTCCACTCCAATGCCAGCCCGCTACCAGGACGACCACCGCCCTCGGCCGGGACGTCTTCGCTCGCCCTCTCCACGCCGCCGCTCGCCTTCTCCTATGCGTCGACGGCCCGCACCTAACGAGGAGGAAAACTAGACGACGCAGTTCCTGAGGCAAGAACTGCGCAAGTTTCGGTTTGCCCAAGTCCTCATTTGTCACCTACCAATGTTATTGATGTGTTCGTCGAAAATATCCCTATTGTCGCTCTTGTAGATACCGGTGCAGCTGTTTCGGTAATAGATGCTGGATTTTGCCGCTCAATTCGTAAGGTTACGACGCCTTTCTCCGGATTATCGCTTCGCACAGCCAGTGCTCAACCTGTTCAACCGACCGCAGTATGTACAGCCCGCGTGACAATTCAGGACGTTCTGTATACGATATAGTTCGTTGTTCTTTCATCATGCTCCCATAATATTATTTTGGGATGGGACTTTTTGTCGCGTCATAACGCCGTAATCGACTGTGCTAGGGCTGAGGTCGAATTTTGCTCACTGGATGACCAAGTGTCCGTCGACACCCAGTTTGCCGCTAAACTTGTCGTTAGCGATGACACCTACATCCCTCCATGCTCTTTTGCGTTCGTGCCAGTTTCATGCAGCGCCATATCCGACGGCACGGTCTTCTTCACACCATCTCCAATATTCGTCGCCCGAAGAGCTCTCCCCCTGCCTTTTGCTGCTCTCGATCTTGTAGAAGGGTCAACCACAATGCCAATTTATAATCATGAGTCGTCGTCTTTATCTCTACTTTGTCGCGAGTGCCTTGGCCACGTCGAGACAATCAGTTCTTCCAGAATTATATCCGTCCCCGATGAGGTGCCTTCTACCTCCGTCTGTGAACTGGCTGTCGTCTCAGCGCCTGACTCAACGTCGGCAAACATATTTCAACCATTCATCGCTGCAGATTTGACATCTTCGCAGCGTTCACAACTCCTCACCATTCTTGAGAGCTACCGCCACTCTTTTGACGTTGAACAAACATCTCTCGGCCGTGCCTTAGCAGTAGAACACCACATCGACACTGGGTCCCACTCACCGCTGCGACAACGACCATATCGCGTGTCCGCTACAGAACGCCGCGTCATTGCTGACCAAGTAGACGACATGCTTCGCAGAGGCGTCATTCGACCTTCACAGAGCCCATGGGCGTCTCCGGTGGTTCTCGTCAAAAAGAAAGACGGTTCTATTCGTTTCTGTGTCGATTTCCGGCGATTGAACAAGATCACGCTGAAGGATGTCTATCCTTTACCGCGCATTGACGATGCTTTGGACAGTTTGCAGGGTGCCGAGTTCTTTTCCTCGTTAGACTTGCGGTCAGGCTACTGGCAGGTGCCTATGGCGGAGGCCGATCGCCCCAAAACCGCTTTTGTCACGCCAGACGGCTTATATGAATTCACCGTCATGCCCTTCGGACTTTGCAATGCACCTGCAACGTTCGAACTAATGATGGACAACATCCTGCGTGGACTAAAATGGAAGATATGCTTGTGTTACCTCGATGATATCGTGGTCTTCGCCCCTAACTTTGACACACACTTACGGCGCCTTCAGCACGTGCTTTCTTGCTTAACTAACGCCGGTTTGCAATTAAACCTCAAAAAATGTCGATTTGCCATGCGTCAACTGAACATTTTGGGCCACGTTGTTTCCAAGGAAGGCATCCTCCCGGATCCCGAGAAATTGCGAGCTGTTACGGCGTTTCCTAAACCTGCCACCATCAAAGAACTTCGAAGTTTCATCGGCTTGTGTTCGTATTTCCGGCGATTCGTCCGAAACTTCGCGTCTATTATATCACCTCTCACGCAACTTCTCAGCAGCTGTAAAGACCTCTTATCGTGGTCCCCTGCCTGCGACGAGGCTTTCAACACCCTGCGACGGCTTCTTACGACGCCACCAATTCTACGCCATTTCGATCCTGAAGCTCCAACTGATATCCACACCGACGCCAGTGGTGTAGGTCTGGGTGCTGTGCTCGCACAGCGTAAACCAGAACATCAGGAATACGTCGTGGCATACGCTAGTCGCACACTTACCAAGGCTGAGAGCAACTACAGCGTCACAGAAAAGGAGTGCTTGGCCATTGTGTGGGCCCTTGGAAAGTTTCGCCCATATCTATATGGTCGCTCTTTTGACGTCGTGACCGACCACCACGCGCTGTGCTGGCTTTCGACGTTAAAAGACCCATCTGGCCGCCTTGCTCGCTGGGCGTTGAAAATTCAAGATTACGACATACGCGTGGTTTATCGGTCAGGACGGAAGCATGCTGACGCCGACGCCCTTTCTCGTTCCCCCCTGTCCCAGAATGCCACAGCTGACTCCGCTTGCGATTCCACATTGTCATCGCTTGACTTTGACACCATTGCTATCGAACAACGCAATGACCCGTGGACTGCGTCTCTCCTCAATCATCTCTCCGACACTTCTGAACTCCAGAACACTTCAGGCCCTCAAGAACTCCTCAGTGACCGCGGCCGCGCCTTCTTGTCCGAGGTCATTGAAAAATTGCTCACTGAGTGTGCTATTGTACATCGCACATGTACCGCTTACCACCCACAAACCAATGGGGCTACCGAGCGCTTTAATCGTACTCTCGGTGACATGCTATCTATGTATGTGACGCCTGACCACTCTAACTGGGACTTAGTTCTCCCATTCATTACATACGCCTATAATACGGCAACACAAGCGACAGCAGGCTTCTCCCCTTTTTACCTCCTCTACGGCCGTCACCCCTCCCACACCATTGACACCATTTTTCCCTATCGACCAGACGCGTCCGAGTGCCTACCGATCTTGGACGCCGCCAGACACGCAGAAGAATGCCGCCAGTTAGCTCGTCGCTTCACCTGCGATGACCAAAACAGGCAAAAAGCAATTCGTGATGCCCAGACCTCAACTCCCGTTTTTCTTCCGGGTTCTCTTGTATGGCTGTCAGTGCCGCATCGCACACCTGGGCTCTCTTCCAAACTTCTGCCAAAGTACGATGGGCCATATCGTATTGTCGAACAAACTTCGCCAGTAAACTACCTCATTGAGCCTCTTACGCCACCATCAGACTTGCGACGTCGCAACCGCGAGGTTGTACACGTACAGAGGCTCAAGCAATACCACGGTTCAACGCCGCCTGCAGAGGACTAAGTCGCCAGGATGGCTCCTTTTTTCTCCGTGGGGCCATTGTAAAGAAGAGGAAGTACTCCGGCGCAGAGGCAGCAGCATCGAGTGTGCAGCAGCGGCTCGAGCTCGGAAATTGCGGCTGGTGCATCGCCTTCCACGCCTTCCAAGCACCAACCTTTCTGCTTAATAAATCTCCTTTATAGTATGTATGTATGTATGTGTATATATATATGCACGCACCAACATACATCAGAGGGGGTTGGAACAACTCCCTCTTTTAATAAAAATGTCTGGCTACAACATCCCTACATGAATGACCATCATTAATGTTGTAACTGTATGTTTGTGCAAACAAATTCTTCATGTCCAAAATTGCTAATATTGTAAATACAGCAAAGTTCAGTAGATCCCTCCGATTGCTTTTGTTTCGCATTCCTATAAAGCACTTGTGCCTTTGCAGGTGACCCACCTGAAGAGACACCTGGTGACTCATGGCGGCAGCTGCCTACCCTGTGCTATCTGCGGCCGTCGCTTTGCGTTTCCGAGTGACCTCTCCGCACATGTTGCCAAGCATCACCCGCCACCTCTGCTGCGTACAAGCACAGGTGCTCCCGCCCCTCCGGCTCACAGACTCCAGTGTGAAGTGTGCGAGCGGCTATTCCAGTATCCGAGTCAGCTGCGGGACCACATGCTGGTGCATACGCAGGTGCGCCGTTTTGCATGCCCTGACTGTGGAATGCGCTTCATGAAGGAGCACCACCTCCGCAATCATCTTGTCACTCACAGCCCCGTGAAACCGTTTCCATGCCCCGTGTGTGGCAGGGCCTTCTCTCTTAAGGCCAACATGGAGAGGCATGTCCTTATACACGAAGTCCAGCGTAGGTTCGGATGTGAACGTTGTGGGAAGCGGTTCTCGCAACCCCAGACGCTCAAGATGCATCTGGTGTCGCATGCCGACGTGAAGCCGTACTCGTGCAGCATATGTGGCAAGGGCTTGGCACGAGCCCACAACCTGCGCGCACACATGGCAATCCACCAGACAAGCAAGCCCCACCGCTGTCCGGACTGCAGCAGCACATTTACACTTCGTGGGAACTTGGTGCGGCACCTCAAGGAGAAGCATGGTCCAGCAATCATCCCTGCTGAAGCCGTGTCTGTAGTCATCACCCCGCAAAGCCCCAACCGCAACGTGGCTAAACGTAGAAAAAACACACCAAAGCGGCTCAAAAAATGTGGTGAAGGTTCCGGTGATGAGGATGGAGAAGAGGAGGAAGGAGAAGAGGACGGTGAAACGGAGGGAGAACAAGCAGAGGCAGATGGAGTGGAGGCAGAACGGGACCGGTTCCAGGACCTCTCGGGACACAAGTACCAGGGGCTGCCTGGTTCGCCGGAAAATGCACGCGGTGTTGAAGTACTCCAGGCCACCGTCTACTACCCTGCCCCTATTGTGACGCAAGAGGTGCCGTCATCAGAGCATAAGCCTTTCTCACTACATGCACTCCAGCCAGCTCCCGTGTTTGCATCTCCTGGCAGCTTCTACGGGGATCTCCCAACGGCAACACCTGCTGCAGTCGGACCCGAGGAAGTTGGTGCTCGACTGCAAGCACTGCATGCAGCCATTGATGATCTGGCGGGCAAGTTGGGCCCCGACCATGACAAAGTTACAGCCTTGCACGCAGCCTTGGATCAGCTTGTTCCCCCTTCGCAACAGCCGAGCTCCGCTCCACCTTGAGAACTAGCACGGACCTGCTAACGTTGCCAACTATACCAGAGTTTTTATAAATACCTTTTTTTTCCTCTTCTTCAAAGCTCTAATGTGCCACTTCTAACAAAGCAGTACCTTAGACAAACTTGCATCTGATGCACTCCTGTCAGATGCTTCATACATATATGCTTGATCCCAAAGTCATGTAGTTTTTTTAGAACCGATTTTTGTTGAAGCACGTTTGGTTTTTTTAGGGGGGGGTGGGAGGGGGAGAAGTGACTGTGAGATTGTGATGTGGCACTGCTGGCAGCACCACCGATTGCTGCTCTCAAAGGAACGAATTGTGACAGGGTAAACGAGTTTGGCTTTTTTGTTCCTTGAAGCTTTGACTTGTGAAAAGATTGTGTCCTGGTTCTTGTCAAACAGTGTGAAGCGCAGGTGAAAAGAAACCTCCTGTGGATTACTTGTCTTGTGGCTGACAGAAAGTGGACCTGATTACATGTGACCTGAGTGACTCCTGCCAGAAAGTGATGACTGAAGGAAAGAACTGGGGAATTATGAATCTTTCTAGTATTAGTCAAATTGAGTGTTTGTGCACCAGGAAGAGCCTTGTGCTTTGTGTAGTATGTATTTATGAAATAGAAATGGTCAGAACATGCTGTGTATGTGACAGATTTCTTATGAAGGTGCTGTACTGGTCAGCTCAAATGTAACATTAAAGACACAAGTAAATCTGCTTCATTGTTTATACTTCAATTTGACTGACAGCAAGCGATGAAACAAAGGCTAGAGTTAGTTATTGCACTGTATGTGTTCTTTACCACAAATTAATTTGCATTTAATGCAAGATATTAGAAGACAATGCGTTATTCGTGGAACATCACATAGAAGAAACAACAGGTTTGACTCCATTAGCCATGCAAGAACGAGCAGTAAGACACTAATGTTTGCACGGCCACCCTCATGAGAGAAATGACGTTGCTACACTCTCAACCTAAACATGGTGCAGTACTACATACATATGTAAAAAAACATGCCTTATCCCTCCATCATAGGAATCCGCATAACGTGAAAGTAAAACGTGTCCTTGCAAAATAGTTTAATATTCACTGTACCCTGATACAGGAGAGCTTGCACAGCCATAGCATGGTTTAACGTGGATGCATCTACGTTGATGCATGGTGGTAGACCTCTATCCCGACGACTAACGTCCATCACTAATGATTAAACAAATCCTTGTAATCATAGATGCTTGTGGTAGCTGTTGTGGCTAATAGTGAAAACGGGAACCAGATAAAATGGTGTGACAGCCAGAAGAATGTGACTCATTGGTAGCCGAACTTCGGCTGAAGTCACAAAGGAAGAAGCTAAGGTTGCCTACTCACAGCGTTTTGGACTTATTGAACACGAGTGCCCGACCAGAGGGAAATGCAGCACGCATTGTGTGTTCCTTGTTGGCTGGCCTCGTTTTTTTGCGGGGCGAGCGTAAGTGGGGAACGCCGAATTACAGCCAGGCGAAGCTGGCGGGTGCCACTGGGCTATGTTTGATGTGGAAGGATGTAGATGGACACTGCAAGGCCGATGCCTAGAGTAAGTTGGCCACCTGTGGTTGTGTTAATAAAGCATTAGTAAAATTGCATTTCTCCTATTGGAAGAATGTCAAATGGGACGGACACAACTACGCGTTAAAGTAATTGTGGATGTCACGGTCATGTGTTACTGCACTTAACAAAGAATGTTGTGATAGAATTATGTTAGATATAAAAGGCGTGTTTTTAAAGCCTATGAAGCCTGTAAAATCCTAAGACCTCTTTCGTGGAAAACCAAGCTCAAAGGACTAATACGCCTGCATATGAAGAGCAGAGCGTCTTGATGTTCATTTATTGCGTTGTAGATCCAAGAACCCCCTGCCACGCGCCTCTCTCGTCTTCCTCTCCTGCGCCTATGTCCACTGTTTTTAACACTCCCGGTCCACGAAATGCTGCGGGCGCATTTCTGAGAAACACAAATGATGAATAGGCCGCGTTACAATTTTGCCATCTGCTAGCTTTAGACGACATGCACGAGCAATGCCGTCGTGTCCCGTAATGTTCTTCAGAGCCCGCAAGAGTTTCGAGCACAACTTGGGCAGGGTATCATCGTGCACTATCACTATATTGTCTTACGCAATACTAGTAATGTCCATCACTGGCCTATTATGAGCGCTTCTAAGGAGTATTAAATATTCTTTATACAAGCAATTCCAGAAGTCTTTCTGTAGCTTTTGTCGCTGTATCCCAGTTTTAAGAAGCTCCGTATGGGAGCTGGGCACCACGTCTGCAGTTTGCAAGTCGCTGAGCGCCCTCAACTGCTTGCCATGTCAGAAATGGGCTGGTGTTAAGACTTCTGGTTCCCCTGGTGTAGAATACAAGTACGTCAGTGGTCTACTATTTATGATCGCTTCAATTTCCGCTAGGACCATGCTCATTTGACCATAATCTAGAAGAGACCTTCCTAGAGCTTTTCTCAAGTTGTCTTTCATTGACCTCGCCATACACTCCCTAAATCCGCCCCACCAAGGAGCACGGTCAGCAGAGAAATTCCACGTGATGCTATGAGCAGACAGATAATCGCCGACCTCACTTCCCCTAATAGTGTCATACACAGCACGAAGTTCATGAGAAGCATGCTTAAAACGTTCATGTTTAAAGCACAAAGCATTGTCGGAGTAAATCACCGAAGGGAATTCACGACGTGCAGTTAAACGCCGGATGGCTTTTAAGAAACTGTCTGCTGTTGAGCGTAAAACAAGCTCTAGATAAACAGCGCATACTACCGCGCAAGTGAATAGCACGAAGTATGATTTCGTCACCCAGAAAAGCTCTCGAAGTTCTGCGACAGTTGTTGGGACTCTTGCGTGCAGAAGCCTCTGGTGTAAGCCGGTGGCGATGAGTTCAGTGGCGATGTGGTCACCGGGAAGCAGAATTGGGTATTTCATGCCCTCGTGGTACTCGACATTCCGAAGCCTTGTTTGAATTCTCAGCAATCCATGCTCTTCTGCAAGAAATGGGAGCAAATCCCGAATTGTCGACGCCTTGGGTAGATCTCTCGCCAAACTTGGAAGACATGCCAATTCAAGGCCGAATCATTTTTGGGGTAACGGTGTCTACTTTTGCATTTTCTTTCGCATCGTCTTCAACATCACTCAGATTGGGGGTCAAGGGTTTGAAACATTCTTCATTTTTTGCAAGCCAAACTGGTCTTTGCCACCAATTCTCCCTGTCTGCAAGCGACTTTTTTGACATGTCTCGGCAAACTATGCCCACGGCGTTGTCTGTCTAAGCGTATAGCCTTTTAAACGCTTCCGTACAATAATTGTGCAGGTTGTTGGTAGGACCTTCAAACGCATGTACATTTTGCATCTTTGATCGCGCAACTCAATGGTTCCATTGAAAGCATTGCAAACCGTTTCATCGTGAGAGGATGGTACATCTGCATTAGTGGTCTCTAAGCTTTCTAGTTGCGAAAACTTTCTCAGATTAGAGCCTGCACGTTCCTGCATCTGTTCATCGTTCATACAGCAATCTGTCCGAAGTACACGAACGTTCGCATTTGTGCGTGGATGAATGGTTTCATCGCTTAATGGTCCTTGAAATGTCCAACCCAGTGCTGTTTCAATAAAAGGAGACCTAACTGGTCGCCATGCCAACTGACGTCTCAGCAAAGGACTTTCCACAATTGGTCTGAGCTAATCAATAGGCTGATGCCTTGTTCTTGAGCTATGTGGGAAAAGAAAAGAGCATCAACCACTCATTGACCACGATTCTAAAACCCTTTGATGAATTCATGACTTTGGGGTACCTCAACAATGGCTTCACAGATGTGTCCTATTTCAATGGCTTCAATGACATGCTGAACATCATCGTACTGGCTTTGCAAAGTTATTTGAACTAGTCTTCGACGTGTACATCGACCACAATGTTTGGTTCCAAACACGTCGACGGTAATGACGATTTCTCCCAGCACCATTAGGTTTAATTTTCTGAGAAATGTCTTTGATAAAAGAGCGCTGGCTACCATTATCCAGAACGCCTCTTGTAAAGCAGGAACCCTTTGCACCATTTATCATTCCTCTGAATGTTTACAATAGTATTGTATCAAGGCTCCTATTGCTATCTGACACAGCGTATATGTACATGGAGGTACTGCTCGTAGCGTGTTTTGGTGGCATCATTATTTGAAGAGCTTTACTAGCCTGTCTAGAGCACATCGAAGAAGCGTGTCTTCCATGACAATGTGAGCAGTTCACCTTCTGTCGAAAGTCTCTTGCTCGATGTCCTTTTGTGGTACATCTGAAGCAGCACCCAGTCGTCAAGAAAGGACACTTTTTTTCCGAGTCGGGAAGTTATGCGTCGCTGTCCAGCGTTGAGTGTGACTTCTGGCAGAAAAGACAAGCCTCCTCCTTCTTAACGGCACTGTTATAAAGGACTGCAGCTGATGTCGGCTAATTCTCACGGCTGCCGGAAGTCTGCTGATCCCTAGTAGAAGTAACTCGTCGCTGGTAGCTGGTGAGCTCTCTGCACTCGACCTTGATGCGTAGGTACTTGAGCAACTGTCGAAGTTCTTCTTCCGAGCTCGGCGGGTTCGCATTTGACGCTTCAAGTCGCCGTCGTCGGCGATATTCCACCATTATGTTCTGTGGAATCGTTTTTATTAGCACCTCGCACATCATGGCAGAGTGGCAGGATTCCTAGACGCCGAGCCCTTTGAGCCCTCTTATGTTGACTTGAACGAAGTCGTAAAGGCTTCTCTGGGCACTAGCGTTCGCCAACATAGTGACGCAGAGTGCGAAGATTTTCGAGATGCCTCTGCTCAATCATGTGCACATCTCCGAAATGCTCTTTAAGTATAGAAACGGCGTCCTCATAACTGTTGTCGGTTGTGAGTATGCCTACAATAGCCTTTGCCGCAGGGCCGTCGAGAAGAGATCACGCATAGTGAAACTGATCGACGTTATTAAGATGCGGGTACTCGGGTACGGAGTGCCGAAAGAGGTCCCAAAATGGTCGTTATTTTGTGGGGGACCCGTCGAATCTCATTAGGTTTAGCTTAGGAAGCCTTGCTCCTGTGCCGGCGGAAATATCTGACGGGACTGCTTGATGCGGCAGAGAAGAGTCGGTTGGCAACTCACCGTTGAACCTGGCGGGCCCTGATGTTCGGACAGCCAGCTTCTGGATGTGATGTTTAAGGAGGCCAACGCTCCCTGCAGTTCGGTCCTCGTACTCTAGCACCAAGTCCATGTCCGCCAGCACCTCGTCATTCGTCATGTGGCCGTGCAGTGCTTCATTAGCCTTCGCGAGCTCGTCGGGGCTTTTCTCGAGGCGCTGAAGATGCTGCGAAGCCCCGCCATGTCGAATTCATTGGAGGCTAGATGCTCATCAACGGCATTGATGATCTTGGTGCTGTGTTGCCGTCTAGCTGCTCTCGTGTTTCGCAGGCGTTCCATAGTCCTCTTTGAAACCGGGTCGGGTTTTGGCACCAATGTAAAATCCGAAGACTTCTTTCGCGGAAAACCGGGTTCAAAGGACTAATACACCTAGAGATGAAGAGCAGAGGGTCTCGATGCCCATTTATTGCGGCGTAAATCCAAGAACCCCCGTGCTACGCGCCTTCATCGTCTCTTATCTTCCTCTCCTGCACCCTATATTCACTGCTTTTAACAAAGCCAACATTATCCACCATGGAAAAGTGCAGAACG